GCCTATTTCCTCTTTTGTCTGCTTGTCCCACTCCACAATCCCCGTTCAGGCCTTTTTTCTAGTTGGAAACAGTTCAGGGCTGGCTGTGGCCATTTGGCTTTAATTGGAAACTGTCTCTTTAAATTTTGAGGAGATCTGTGCGCATGCGTAGTATGGGTGGGGCTGGGGTGCCCACTAGCTCAGGCACCCCTATAGTCACCAGAATGTAGGTGCACAGATAACAAGGGACCAATGAACAGATACCAAAAGGAAAGACTGTCCACACCTTTATCTCAGCGGTTCTGCCAGGCGTCTGTGGCCGCTCCAATCCTTTCCCCACATGGTCTCATCCAAGATGGTGGCTCCTGGAGCAGCCGAGCGTCCCGGACTGGAAAGCAATAGATTTCTTGCTTCTGCCACAAATTCCCCCAGCTGTGAGCCTTCTAACCTTCTAAGTATTCCTTTATATGTGGTTCAGAGTTCTGGGACCATCCCCTGAACCTGCTTGGTCGGGTATTCTGTATTGTTGTTGGCGGAGCTCTCTGCTGTACGTCCACCCGATCCGCCATCTTGTTTGTTCTTCTCCACGGGAACTTTTTAAGTGTTGAAGAGCAAGGATGTCAGCTTGAGGACTAAGGTACTCCTGACCCAAGCCATGGTATTTTCAATAACCTCATATGGATGCAAAAACTGGACAGTGAATAAGGAAGATCATAGAAGAATTGATGCCTTTGAATTGTGGTGTTGGAGGAGAATACTAAAAGTGACATGGACTGCCAAAAGAACCAATAGATCTGTTTTGGAAGAGGTGCAGCCAGAGTGCTCCTTGGAGGCCAGGATGGCTAAACTTCGTCTCTCATATTTTGGATATATTGTCAAGAGGGAACAGTTGCTAGAGAAGGATGTCATGCTGGGTAAGATGGAAGGTCAGAGAAAGAGAGGAAGACCCCCAACAAGATGGATCAGCCAGGTGGCATCATTGATGGCATCAAGTGTGGCAGTGGTAGTGAGGTTGCCCCAGTATCGGACATTGTTTCGTTCTGCTGTGCATGGGGTTGCTATGAGTCAGTTCCGACTCGATGGCACCTGACAACAACAACAACATATCCTCTCTTATTCTATCTGTTGGTGCTTTGTGGGGCCATCCATCCATCATTTACATTTCTGTGTTGGATACCCAAAACTAGTATTCATTTAGACCACAAGACTCCAGACTAGTAGGGGAGACAGCATGATAGGTGCTATTCTAACCTCATATTGAGATGCTATGGAGCAACCAGTGTTGTGAGGAGCATGAGAGATGACCTCATGGAGAAGGTGAGGCTTATGTGGATCTTGAAGCACAATTAGGAATTCCAAAGACAGACAATAGGTAGATTAGGGGATATGGGTAGAATTCCAGTGGGCAGAGAAATCATTCTGACTTAAAACTTAGAGTGTGCAAGGGACAGATGAGTCACAGAACATGAAGGGCTTTGTATACGGGTCAGTGAGAGCCATTTTTATGTATGCACCAGGGGTCTGACATGATCGGATTTGAGTCAAGAGAGGACACTCTGCCAGAGGTTTCTGGGGTGATTCAGAGAACTCTGTTTTAATAGACTTTTCAGGCAATTCTAATGTAGTCCTGGTGTGGCACTGTGGGTTAATGCGCCAGACTGAAAATCCATTTGAACTGCAAGGTCGGCGGTTCAAGCTCACCACCTGCTCCTCGGAAACTCTATACAGGGTCGCTATGGTTCGAAACTGACTTAACAACACTTAACAACAGCATGTAGTCCTGGTGTGGCACTGTGGGCTAATGCGCTGGACTGCAATGTTATTTGAACCTCAAGGTGGGCAGTTCAAGCTCACCATCCACTCCTTGGAAACCATATACAGGGTCGCTATGGGTCAGAACCGACTTAATGGTACTTAACAACAACAACAAATGTGGTCCATCTAATTGAAAGGTTGGTGGTTTGAACTCACCAGCCACTCACAGGAGAAAACTGTGGCAGCCTGCTTCTGTAATGTCATGCTGGGTAAGATGGAAGGTCTCTCTAGCCTTGGAGACCTTTGGGGCAGTTCTACTTTCTCCTTCTGGGTGACTCTAAGTCAGGATTGGCTTAATGGCAGTGGGTTTGGTTTCTGGTGAATTTGTGGTACTGGGTACAAAGTGGGGCTGGGGTGGGGATATTGGAAATAGGTTCAACAGATTGAATCTAGAGGACTTAGTGTGCGATTACATGGGGTCTGAGTGAGTGCATGCTGGGGAAGAAAGTGACAAAGGCAGGTTCTGGCATTGGGTAATGAGCTTGCTTTCTCATATAGGTGTCCCTAGTGGGCTTCCTGTTCCTTTTGGGCTTATACATCTCATCTCTAGCTTCCTGTATGGGAGGACTGTATGGAGCTCCCCGGATCCTGCAGTGCATTGCCCAGGAGAAAGTGGTTCCTGCATTGTCCTGGCTGGGGCAAGGGGTGAGTGACCCTTATTTTTGAGAAATGTACGTTTAGCCCCTGACATGATGGTTGGTCAATACATTTCTTAGGCATTTATCATCAGACTCTCTGGTCAAGTTCTGCAGGGTGGGACAGAAAAGTATATAAAGGCTTCCTTAATAAAGATAAATTTGGGTTCCTCCAAATTTAGGAAAAAATGGAAGAATCTCTTGGAAAGGAGGGGGAAAGCTGGTCCTTCCAGCTCAAACTCTACCCTCTACCCTTGGTGTTTATTTTGCCCTGGGGGTTTGCTGTGTGAATCATCATGACCCAAACCCTCACTGATACAGCATAGCTTGGTTGAGTCATGGCTGGAATGGTCAAATGAGCCATTCCTAAAACCTACGGGGATAAAAAAAGGAATAAATACAGAGAACTCCACTTCCTGATAATGTGGTTTACAAGCTGTAGTTCATTTTTATCTTGCTGGTGTACCACAGGGTACCCTCACCTCTACTCTGTTAATCCCAGCCCCCCTCTCTTTTAGGGCACATGTGGCTACAATCCATCATTACTCCCCTGCCCACCCCATGCCTTCCTCCACATCTTCTCCATCAGTCTGCACAGTTGAGTGGGAGCATCTCTAGTACCTTCCATGTGGGCTGTGCCTTTTATTATATTTTCATTTCATTTAGCATTTATTTTTCTATTAGGTAACATGGGAACAGGGTTCAAAAGTAGGAATAATATAAAATGTATAAACCAAGAAAGTTTGCTCTGATAATGAATCTTTCTATGTTCTGTCTTCTCATTTGATATAGCCTGGAAATCTGTCTTTTCATATGACTTAGAGAGAACTTTCTCATTCTGTTTCCGCTATGTAGTATACCGTAGTTTAACCATGTCCCTGTAAATTGACATTTGTGTGGCTTCTAGAAGACACTGCTGCAATGAATAACGTGTCTGCATGTGTGCATAATTTTATATACATGCAGATATATTTTTGGATGCATTTTCATAGGTTTAATACAAGTGATTGCTGTGTCAAAGGGTAAATGTATTTAAAATTTTAAATAAGTATTGCCAAAACACCTTCCATGGGATCTGTACCATTTTGTACTTCTCTAAGTATGGTGCTGTAGGATAAGCTCTGGATTGCTAACTATAAGGTCGGTAGTTCACACTCACCAGCCACTCCTCAAAAATCCTGTACTGGGTTGCTATGAGTCAGAACCAACTCGACGGCACTTAACAACAATAGCAATATATGAGATTAATGGAAGTAACTGTTTCCCTATAGTCAATCCCACTTTCATACTTGGAGCAAAAAGAGCTCCTGCTTGATAGGACACTGCTCTGGCCCTTGGGGTAAGAGTTTCATGAGGCCAAGGAGTATGCCCGCTGTATCCCATGCTGACCTTTTAGACCATGTTCCAGCTATACTGGAGTCTGGAATTCCCCATCCTGGTGTCCCCCAGGCCACTTTCCAATTATGCAGAGCCATTTCCCTGGTCTGTCTTCTCCAGAGGCAGGGTGTGGACTTGCGGTCCACACATGTAAGCTTTTGAGGCCCCTGATAATATGGACTGAGAAGCAAGGGGACAGCGCTCCTGTAAGGAAATCTGAGAAGCGTGGGATTCTAAGCTCAAACATGACTTCCTCATCATCATGAAGGGCTGCTTGGCAATGAAGAAGGATAGAACATATTTGATTTAATATTTTATTGACTTGGTTCATACTTGCAAATACTTAGACATAGGCATGTGGACCTCCATTTATACTTTTGCCCCAGACTTTACATATGCTAGCAATGAGCCTGCCCAACTTCATGTGTTGTCAGAATTCAGTTTTTGCCAATCATATAGTGAGAATGGTATCTGATTTGTAATTTGCATTACTTTTATGAATGAGAATGACCACATTTTTCTTTATTTAAGAGGCTTTTTCACCCCCCTCAGTGCTTATTGTTCTTTTTCTTTTCAATTACTAGGAACTCTTTTTCTGCTAGGGAAATTAACTTTTGGTGAAATTGCATTACCAATATTTTCCAGTTTGTCATTTGTCTTTTAACTTTGCTTGGAACTTTTCCCCACAACTTCTTTACATATGATTATATTTTATTAACTCGTTTCCTTTTGTGGAGAGAGAGATGAAGCTCTGAACATCTTTGAGATGTATTCAACATACAGAAACACTCATGAAACCAAATATGAACAGGTTAAAGAAGATCTATGAACTGAACATCCTTGAAACCTTCACCCAAGAACACTGCCAGCCTGTATTTGCCACCCTCCACAAGCTCCCTCTCAATGTAAAGAAAACAAGAATTCTTACCACTGTACCAATAAACCACATTCTTAGCAATGGAGAAAAGATTGAAGTTGTCACGGACTTCATTCTTCTTGGATCAGCTATCAACACTCACAGAAGCAGCAATTAAGAAGTCAAATGACGCATTGCTTTAGGCAAATCTGTTGCACAAGACCTTTTTAAGGTATTGAAGAGCAAAGAGGTCAGCTTGAGGACTAAGGTGAACCTGACCCAAGCTATGGTGTTTTCAATAACCTCATATGCATGTGAAAGCTGGACAGAGAATAAGGAAGACCATAGAAGAATTGATGCATTTGAGTTATAGTGTTGGAGGAGAATATTGAAAGTGCCAGGGGCTGCCAAAAGAACAAACAGATTTGTGTTGGAAGAAGTGCAGCCAGAGTGCTCCTTGGAGGCCATGATGGCCAGGCTTTGTCTCTCATACTTCAGACATATTGTCAGGTGGGCCAGTCACTGGAGAAGGATATCCTGTTTGGTAAGGTCAGAGAAAGAGAGGAAGACCCCCAACGAGATGGACTGGCCAAGTGGCAGCATCAATGGGCTCAAGCGTGGCAACAATTGTGAGGTTAGCCCAGGACCAGGCAGTGTTTCATTCTGTTGTGCATAGGGTTGCTATGAGTAGGTACCAACTCGATGGCGCCTAACAATGACAACAACAACAACAAGCTCCCTTCCCAGTGGCCACCACTATTCTGAGATAACAGTTTCCTTGTTGTCTCTATGGTTTTACCCAGGGGTCTGCAAACTTTTTCTGAAAAAGACCACAGAGTAAATATTTTTGACTTTGCAGGCCATATGTTCTGTTACAATGACTTATGACTACTCTGCCCTCAGAGTTCAAAAGCTAGTCACAGACAATAAGGAAACAAATTCCCTAAAACTTTGTTGATGAACACTGAAATTTGGATTTCATATAATTTTCATCTTTCACAAAATAGCATTTTTCTTTTGATGTTTTCCTCGTTTAAAACTGTAAAACTATTCTTAACTCTTACACATACATAACAGGATGCATCAGGCCTGATTTGGCCTTGGAATGTAGTTTGCTGGCTCAGATAGTTTAATTTTGCCTGTTTTTGAAGTTTATATAAAGAAGTCATAGTATTTATATATATATATGTCATTGTTGTTAAGTGCTGTCAAGTCGATTCCGACCCACAGCGACCCTGTATAGGGTTTCCAAGGAGCAGCTGGTGAGCTTGAACCACCAACCTTGCAGCTCAAATGACTTTGCAGTCTGATGCATTAGCCCACAGTGCCACACCAGGACTCCAAAATGATTATAGCTAGACCGACGTTTATTTTTAAGTGCCATTGAGTTGGTTCCAAATCACAGTGACCCTGTATAGGGTTTATGAGAAGCAGCTGGTGGGTTTGAGTCACCAACCTTGTGGTTAGCTTCCAGTGCTTATCCTATAATGCCACACCAGGATATAGATAGATAGATAGATAGATAGATAGATAGATAGATAGATAGATAGATAGATAGATAGATAGATGAGAGGTCGTCAACAATATCCATATTCTTGTGACATGCTTCTTTCATTCGATATATTTGTGTGCTTCATATTTTTTCTTTGAAGCAGCAGTGTTATCCTCGCTGTATATTATTTGATCCTATGCTACAATATTTTTTGGGTTTTTTAAATCCATCTTGCTGTTGATGAACCACTGGAGTTGTTTCCAGTTGGAGGCTATGATGAGCAGTGCTGTGAACATTCTTGTAACACTCTTGTACCAGTCTCCTGGAATACATGTAGAAAGCTTCCAGAGAATATACTCATCAGTGGAATTGCTAACTTGAAAGGTTCATATATCTTCACTTACTAGATAACACCAAGTTCTTTTCCAAAATAGTCATACTAACTTACACTCCTATCATTAGCAATGGAGTCCTGGTATGGTCCCTTAGGATAAGCACTCAACCTCAAGGTCAGTTTGAATCACAAATGTCGGTGGTTAAAACTCACCCACGCCTAAGAAACCCTATACGTGGTCACTATGAGTCAGAAATGACTACAGCACTTCACAACCACAACAACATCAGCAGTGGTAAGAGTTCCTCATCTTAAATATTCTTGCCAATACATAAACAGAAGGTGATAGGCCTAATTTGGCCCTTGGGCTGATAATCAGATTTAAAATTTTTTGCCAATCTGATGAATGTGTATTTCATTATATTTTGAATTGCTTTTGCCTGATTATTAATGAGACTGGGCATTCTTTTTCATGTTTAATAGGCACACTTTTTTTTTTTTTAAGATTTTTTATTTTGAATTGAATGAAAGTTTACAGAGCAGATCATCAGTTTTGCATTCAACAAATCATACACTTCATTCCATCATGATTGCAATCCCCTCCTTGTGACATCATTTATCCCACTTCCTCCCCGTGTGTCTTGTTTCCAGTCTTCCTTCTTTCCCCACTCTTCTGAATTTTGTCCTGAGGTAAATGCTGCCATTTTGCAGTGGTTGACCATTCTATGGTGAGCATACCTCACTAGTGTTGTTGTCTTCTATATTCTTGGCTGAAGTTTGAGCCATGAGAGTAAGTAAATTCAGTTACAGATCTGAAGAGTCACCAAAAGCCATAATCTCAGGATTCTGCCAATCTCTGTTTGCCTAGCAAGCTTAGCCTTTTTTTTTTATGATTTTGAGTTTTGGTCCACATTTTCTCCCACTCTATCTAGTGCCTTCTAATGCGATCCT